TAATATCTAATAAATTTATTTTATGATACAAAAGATACAAAATGACAAAAATCAATTATCTTTTTTAGATGGCTAATAAAAGAAAATAAAATTGAAGTAATTGTACAAGAGGGAAACACAGAACTCGCAGATGGCAGCTTGGTAGTATCAGGATATGATGTTAGTGGCAAAGTTACTAGTGAAAATGAACCAATGGCTGGTGTATCCTTCATTCTTTTCGGTGTAAGGTTTATTTTATTATTTTCGTATTACCAGTATTTGGCATTTAATGCTTTGATTATCATGCGTATCCAGTTGGATACACATTTATGTGAATTTAGGGCGTCGCTACACCTCAATTTTATTATTGAATTTTGTTATTTTTTTATTGAATACATTTGCTATCCATTACCATTAAACCAAGAATATTTTGCATTTTATATAATATATTGTGAATTTTCTAGAGAAGTCTATCAACTTTACTGAAGACTTTTATTTTAATATGAAAAAAATATTTTAATATGAAAAAAAATTTACCGAAGTTATATTATAAAAAATAGTAATAGTAGTAGTGGCGCCAGAGGATCGATTACAAAAATCCACATGATAATCAAAGTATTATTGATATTTTTCAAAAAAAATTCTAAAGTATTCTTTAATAAAAATTTTTATAGAATGAATAATTTTGTATATCTTACAGAATGGTATCGCCAAGAAGTGTGAGACCACTCCCGTGAATAAAAACTTTGAATCCAAGAAACCACTTTGCCACGTGACTTCGGACAATACCGGTAGATTTATATTCCCCAGTCTATCGCCTGGCGATTATAAGCTTATACCTCACTACGCCGGTGCCCAGACAAAATTCGACGTTCAACCACCGGAATTGTTTTTCAAAGTTAGCCACAACAGCGTAGTTCTTACTCCAGACTTTAAAATAACCGGCTTTACGGTTGGCGGTTTAGTACGTAGCGCCACGAATGGAAACCCATTACAAGGAGCAAAAATATTCTTGTCACATAAAGAAGTTGCAGTCACAGATAAGAATGGAAAATATGTATTAGATAACATGAAAGCCGGCCAATATACACTTAAAGCAGAATCTGGTATAAGAAATTTTACAAGATTTCTTTTAAATTAAATCATTCACTAACTTTGGAATTATTTGTACAACTATTTGTTCCAGAAAATGTACAATTTAGCGAGAGGACAGTCAAAATATCTCCCACCTCGCCTGAAATTCCTGTGCTAGTACCTTCAGCATATAAAGTTTCAGGAAAAGTAACCTTGTCAGCGAAGGGGACATTGCATTTTCGCCGAATATCCATTCAGAACACAGCTGCTACGTTTTATAAGGAGCTTGACACCAATGAGAAAACGGGAGAGTACTCTGTATATCTTGCACCGGATAAGTATCAATTGAGTGTAATTGTGAGCACAGAAGAAAAAACTAAGGGTTTACAGTAAGTAACGAATGTAAAAATAAATCAGAATAGTAAAGTTTTATAAAATTATATATATGTATAGTGTAGTTATAAATTATAAAAACTTTATTATATTTCTAGATTCTATCCACTGCAACAAACAATTGATGTGACATCTCAACCAATTATTAATGTCAACTTCTTACAATTAAAAGCCACGTTAACAGGAACAGTGCATTGTTTACCAGGGACAGATTGCAGCCAAGCTTCAGTTACTTTGAAAATACTCGATGGAGTCACGATAAAGACAGTACAAGCTAAAGGTGTGCTAACATAAACACTAATCAATGTTATTATAAAATGTTTTTAGTATAATTTGAGCTGCAATAACAAATATGGTCTTGTAAAATAAAAAGGATTCTCTGATTTTCTAAATCTTGTGTTTGCAGTAAGTTTGAAAGTTAATTTGATTTCAAGCAACTGATATGTAAAATACTTTGTATCTATTTGTTATTGCAGTAATGTCTGTTTAATTCGATATGATACTATCTCCTCTGTCTGTGAAGTCGTTTTCCATTACTTAGATGGCCAGTATCAATTCACGGACGTTCTACCTGGTCATTACGAGATTTTCATCGATAACGACGTGTTTTGCTGGGAAAATCCTAGTTATAGGATCTCAATAACGTCGGAACGCGCCGAAGTACCACCGTTTAAGCAAACCGGCTTCTCCATCACCTTCATATCATCTCACGATACAATCGTGGAGTATTTCGAGCCTAATAACACGAAACTAATAACTTTACCTCTAAATAAAGGAAGCATGAGGCATTGTGTGCCTAAATCTGGAATATACACTTTTATTCCGAAAGGTTGCCATATATATGAAAATTCTTCCTACACTTGGGATACGAGCAATTTATCCCCGATCTTACTGCATTCCACTGAACACACTCATAAAGGCAGTATTATAAGTTTAAGTATGCAAAACGATCTTAAAGTAAAAATTGAAGACGCAAATGACAGTGTCATGTAAGTTGCATTGTATGTTTTGAGAAAAATTTTGCATATTTTTTTTACATTCGAATAATATTAATATTTTTATTAATTTCTTTTGAGATATATAAAATGTATATATACATCTTTGTTTATTAATATATTTTTTGATAGAATTGGTCCACTGAAATATGTAAAAAAAGATGGCATATACAAGTATGAATTTGAGTTTAAGGCGAAAACAGATAATATGTATACTATCATTCCGTTATCAGACATTCTCCTCTTCAATCCACCATCTCTGAAAGTTTTCGGCGTAAATGACTGTCATAATGACATTGCAAGTTTTGCCGGTGATTTGGGAAAGGTAGATAATTATTACTATATTAAACATATAGAATTCATAGCTCAAACGAGAATATTATTTAGATTATAGCCGGACAGATTTCTCCATCATTGGAAGGTGTAACTATACGAATAACTGGGAAAAATGACGAATCTCCAATTCATACTTTAGTTACACAAAAAGACGGAATTTACAGCGTTGGACCTTTGGATGGAAAAATTGAATATAGGTATATTGGCAATAATTTATTATTATTATAACAATTAATTATTGTAAAATTGATAAATGTTTGGTTATAGTGTTACAGCTGAGAAAGAGGGCTTTGTAATCACAGGGCCTGATGCTAAAGGAGTATTCTTGGCGCACAAATTGGCCGAGATTATTGTGCAAGTTTCTGATCACGCTGATGATTCTTCATTGCAGGTAACTTTATCAGTAAAATACTAACAGAAAATAAAAGAAAGATAATATTGTATTATTTTTCAGGGTGTACTCCTTTCTTTGTCTGGCGGTCAAAATTACCGCAAGAACAGCATAACTGGTGAAGACGGAAAATTTATATTTAATTCGTTGTCACCGGGTGAATATTATCTACGACCTATGATGAAGGAATATCGCTTTGATCCGCCATCAAAGATGATTAACGTCGTGGAAGGGGCAACCGTCAATGTAAATCTATTCGGTAATAGAGTTGCTTATAGCGCTTACGGTTCCATCACGTCTTTGAATGGGGAACCGGAAGTTGGCTTGCTGGTTGAAGTTCAAGGCCAAGGGAACTGTTCCAGTCTTCAAGAAGAGGCCACGACTGAAGAGAATGGTAACTTCAGGATCCGCGGTCTCCAACCTACGGTGAATATTTATATTAATAATATAATTTGCGCAATAAACAAAATGATTTTACGTCTTATCGATCTAATTTTTACTTATAACAATTTATTAATTTTATAGTGCATCTACGCCTTCCGTCTAAAGTCAAACGTAGAGAGCAATGCTCATATACAGCGCACGAGCCCTAGTTCTCAGCTGGTGCAGCCAGTACAGGACATCCACGATTTGCGACTGATCGCCTTTCATCCGATTTCGCGCACAGACGTCTCGGTGCATGTCACATCCACCCAATCGGAACACTATCGTACGATCAAGGTGAAATTGTGCCGAGAGGACGCTCCCGATTCTCCGGTGCACATCTCTAAGTTGGACGTACAGCAATCCACTAATAAGAATACCGGCACTTATAACGCCGGTTTCTTGGTGCATTTTCCATCGTTACAAGCCGATGGCAGGAAATACTTCGTTCAATTGGAATCATCGCTGTCTCAGGCTGTGCACAAGTACCGCACTATTCCGGTCTACTTTGAGGCGAATTCGTCATTCAAATACGTCAAGTTAGCGTTCAACGCAGAACGAAAAGTCGATCAGAGTGAGATGAATCAGACATCAGTGATCGCGCTGCCATTCATCATGATGGTCGCATTGGCGTTTGTTAATCGCGAAAAATTGTGGGTCTGGTTAAACGCGCTATTGGAGAGACGTTCCAAGCCAGTGCCGAGCTCCAGAACGCCTGTCCAAGCCATTCCCATTGATCCCAGAGCGGATGATATCATAGTCGAGCAAATAATGAATATTAACAAGAGGAAGACGAAGCCACGGAAAACATAAACCGTATGGTCGTCGTTAGCACCGTCATCATTTATACAGTGAGACTCGTTTGTAATGATCTCAAGAGATTATCGAAGATGTAAAGATTTTACATCGTTCGTTGTTTTATATGTCTAATTGTCTGTAATTTATACATAGTATCTATCACAACAGTCTTATGTGTCAAAAACAAAGAGACTTGATATACTTAGCGTGTATTTAGATTTGTTGTGTAATATTATATTTATACGTACGAATATTAATGAAAGAATTGTGTTTGATCGGAAATGTATATAACGTGCATGAATTGTTTGTATGTATATCGAGAAACTTTATCATTGTAATAGTTTAATATAAGAGACATGCACACATAAGCTATGATGCACATAAGCATCCTATATATAATCAATAAATCGTGATATAACCGTTAAATTATATAAAGTAAGATGTACATACAAAAATTGCTGTTGTTATATTCATGGAATTGTTATATATAAAAATGTTCTTGCAAATAATTATGCAATTTTTACTCTTTCAAATATACTTTTACTTTATTCTATAAATTAAGAACGAGAAATAAAGGATTTAATTTAAAAAATAGAGGATGAATGTTTAAAGTATTTTATTTTGTGAAATATATATATTGCGCGCGCGCGCGCGCGCCAAGCTCAAATTTACACATCTACCTATATTTAGATAACGAAATACGCCTGGAAAAAAAAATGCAATAAGACATGTATAACATGATGCAGAATCATTATATCGGGGATATTAATCATTATATACATACCACAGGATTTGCGTTGAACATGCATTTATTAAAGTTCATGGCTATGACGCACTTGTCAGTACCCTCTGAAAAAGTCGTAAACAATCACATATAAAACGTATTGTACATTATAATAACATAATTTTCATTAATTACGTTTCATGTGCAAAGATTATTATTTATAATATAGATTTGTTAATAATAGAACAGTCGTTCCGAACAATAGTTGCATTTTTGTACTTTTTTTATATTTTTCTGATTAGACGTAATTTATCTCAACAAATACTTGCCTATATTACGACACTGATCGAGCATTTCCATTCCAATATGTTTGTATGCCGGCGGCATCAACTTGGATAAGATCTTGTAGTTTATTTTACCGTCTTTTTTCATCTAATCAAAAGAAATTTAAGCTTTAGTGATCCAATTTTAATAATTATATTATACGTCTATTTTTACAAAAAAACAAAATTTCTTTTACCGCTCCCCCTTTTTCCATTACACATTTGAAGTAACACCCCAATGTTTTGTCTTTAGTCGGAAATTCGCCTAATTCTGCCTCCTCTAGCATCTCTATAAATAAAATCGTTAATATTATTAGATGACATAATGATAGATGACATAATGATAGATGACATAATGATAGAACAGCAAAGTAGTGCAAATCATTTTTGGTGAGTATCAAACGATTTGATTATTTCTTTTATACGAGGAAATTTAAAACACGTTTCTTCTAATTTCAAATATGTTTTAATACTTATTTCCCACTTTAATTCTCCAAAAAATTTACGAGAAATCGAAAGTAGGAAAATGATTGTTTGATATTATTTTAACACATTTTTAACGTCTGCAACTATAATGTAAATATCAATTCGTAATTCAATAAAGAATTCAAAAACTTCCTGAAAAGAAATATTATATATGTACATAGTTTATATATAATTATATATAATTGTATATAAAATATACCAATTTTATATATAATTATATATGAAACATTTTTTTCCGGATTTTGATGAAAATTTTTTGCGAATACTTAAATATCACTTTGTTCCACTTGCTCGAATGAATTATTGGGGGATAAATATATGAAACATATTTAAATAAGTTGACGAATAAGTTGACGAGTTGTGTATATTAATTGGCTTTTCTTTTGTTAGTTAAATATCGAAATCGTTAATTAAATGCTGATATTCTGAGCACATACCGTTTGTCGCACCGGTCTCACCGGTACATTTTTTTCGTAAACCTCCAGCCATTTTCCTTAATTCATCGTGAACAGTAGTCCAATCTATATCCTATATAAAGTTATTACATTATCGATCATAAAGATCTCTCTCGTAGATATTTAAACTCATATTCGTACTCACTTCTTCGTTACAACTCACGATAACGAGCTGCGTGAGAATTATAGAGACACAAATGAGAATTAAGCTTTTTTTTGCCATTTCTCGTATTTAACACAATTGATACGGATTTAATTGAAAAATGTTTATTCGTCCATCTAGGATTACTAAATGCGCGACCGTGCTGAATCATCGAGAATTTATGCAGATCCTGGCAATGAAGTGGGAGATAATAATTAACTATCAAAGATAAAAATTAGCTATGAGCAAATTACACGAATATATCGCATCAAAATAATTAAGAAATTAACTAAGATATCAGATTCAGAACGCAAATTTTGTCAATCATAATCATATGCGCGAAAATATTTTTCGAAAGTATTTCGAAACATTTTTTTTTCACAGATCTGATTGTGAGTTTCTATATACTGTATGATATATAAAATAATTAGTATCTCGCACGCAGAAACTATTTCTCGCAGGCAAAAAAAATTCTTCAAAAAAAAAGGGCAAGCTTGAGGATTCAAAATTATTTCGAAGAATTCCGATGCAATTTGTAATTTTGTATAAATATGCGGCTGTAAAGCGAAAAGTATGACGGTAAACAAAACGTGTAATATTAATTTAAGAATCATACAATGCATCGAATCTGTTTCCTAAGTAACAATCGTACGATAATGTCTTCCTGGTTTCGCGGCCTGTAATTTCATTCACTATAATTGATGTCCGACATCAAACACTATGATATTTGTATACTGCCTGACAAATGAAATGTTTTAGTCTTTTAATTATAACTCGTAGTAACCTTACGTGTTGTATAACTTCGCGTTGTGAAATTATATACAACCAATCTTGCAGTTATATCGTCTTTTACTGCAAGATTTATTACTATCGAACAAAGATTATTAAATCGTCCGTAGAATTTCTCAATTTTTTTTTTAATGTATGTCTAATCTAGATCTACACTTTAAAAATATGCATGTGATTTAACCATGCAGTATTTAAATACATATAATTTTCATCGTGTTGATTGATGTAAACACTAACGTAATGTGGATTTAACACTAGTTTAAAACTCATGATATTAAATCTACATCATGTTAATATTTATAATAATATTAATAATAACTTCATTGATGCGTAAATAAAAATGAAAACAGTGGCAGTACAAAATAAAAAGGGAGATATTCAATCAATGGACGAGGCATCAGCAATATATTACTTATTTCTATCGACATTATCTTAGACAGCATATTTACAATAAATATTTATTATTATTCATTTTTTGAAATGTTATATAAATATTTCATATAAAGCTTTATTCAAAATACTATTACTAAAAGATAGACTAAATATTTAAGATAATATTTATGATAAATACAAATAAATATTTCTGTTTAGTAATATTTTTTATTTGAATTATAATGTCTTGTTAAGTATTTCCTTAGCATTTATAATAAATATTTCATAATGTTTATAATAAATGTTTATGATCTATGCAATCTAAGACCTTAAAAATATTTACAAAATATTTAAAATAAACCATATTTATAAATATTTATAAATATTTTGTAAATATTTTATAAATATTGTGTGCTGTTTAGAATTTGAGATCTGATGTATATAATAATGTATATACTGAAAAAATAATCAAAATTTAAAAAAAAATTATTTATGAAGTACTTATTAAAATGTGCATGAATTAAATTTAAAAAAATTTGTTCATTATAGATTTGAATAAAATCAGGTCTGAAGGAATTAATAAATTCACACTCACATTTTCTAGAGAGTGTAATAATGCCCTAGATATAATAGTTACGATTTTTACGTCTTTCTCGTATTCATCGGGAGAGTTGCGTTGCGTTATACGTAATGCTCTTCCACTTGCCACGCGCACGACTCGCGGCGCTATTTCTGTTCTCATCATCACAAAAGACTCGTTTGCGAATGAACGTTTCAAGTGTGTCATAGTTGTAAACCTCTCCTTCCGTTGTGTTCGATCATCAAGTATGACCTCAACCGGCAATTGGAGCGTTTCACTGCCGCAATCTGCGATATCAAACTCGGTCTTGTCAAACGAGAGCGCCATCAATTTATCAAGTCTGCCAATCAATCCGATAGAGACACTTTATATAAATCGTAGGTCTTCCTGGAAAAAAAAAAGAATCTCTGACGTCATAATTTCTACAAGAGCTATTTGCACTTCACAAAGTAAGACACGTTTGTATGCGATATGCAACGAAGGACAACGAAGGACCCTTACAGAAATTTAATACTCTCTCTCTCTCTCTCTCTCTCTCTCTCTCTCTCTCTCTCTGGAAAGTAGTGCTTAATTATTTATTTTGATTATTAAAAACACTATTGTTGAATGCTTTTAAATTAGCCAGTATTAAATTTTTGTTAAGAGAAGTAATTCCTTTTTAAGGGAGGAAGCAAGATGGTCGAAGCAAGATTATCGATTAGACCGCTGAATTCTTTATTTCATCAACAGATTCGTATACGGTTTACGCAATACGGCATGTACAGCGGTTACATGATAAAGTGGAAAGTGATTTTAAAAACATCTCGACACGAAATTGTATCTTGAGCATTTTGTTCTTGGTCTTCTTACGCTGTCATCCTCGTCCCGCTCATTAGAATAGATAGTAAGTCTGAAATGTACATTGCGATCACGCGTGAGATGAGGATAATCCATTGCGACTAAATAATACGAAATCACTTACCCTAGGAGATAGCTCCGCGTAGCATTTGTTGAACGCATACGCGTATTCACAATTATCGCCCTTTGCTGCAAACAGAGAAGTAATTTATAGTTATTAATTGCTTTACGTAACGGGACACGAAGGATCGTGTGTAATCGAAAATAAAATGAAACAACTAAAATATCGGAGAATTAAAAAAAAGATAATTATTGAAAGAAAAGTTCGAAGCTTTCAATATTGAAGAGGTTTTATTTTAATAATTCTTCATAAATGTAAATTGAAGAGATATAAAGATATCTTTGAAGGAATCTTTTGATTTCCGCAATTCCATTTTTTAATGCGATCGAAATTAAAAAGCATTAAAGACATCATTCTGTTTCTTGGATCATCAGTTCCACCCCATGAAAATTTAATATCAGAAGGTAAAGATTATAATTATTTTGAATATTAAAATTGTTCAGAGAGACAATATCGAACAATAGTATTTTTAATACTTAAAATAAGTACAATGAGAGAAATGTTTAATATAGTAACTATTTATTTCGTTGGTATGTTGACTTAAAAAAACTTTATTTCAATTTAAAAATTTTGTTTTTCTAATCAAAATTTGGTTGGAATATTTTCGTAAATCACATAGCAATAAAATAAATATTTATATCAAACATTTTTCTTGTATGTAACTTCTAGTATTAAATTGGATTTCTGTAAGGGACTTTTATATCAGCTTCAGATCCTCTTAATTTCGAAGCAAGTCGCTATTAAATAATATAAAACTTTAGTAATAATTTTAACAGGATTACTTAATTTCAGAAGTTTCGAGCACACGCAATCGATCGACGGGACGAACGAAAAAGAAAAGGACAGTAGATACCCAAATAGTTACCGATCCCCTTGCACTCGCTAATCGCTTTCTCAACCTCGGCTCTATAGGCAGGTATTCTCTGGAAAAACGTCAGCATCCCGTTCAGACTTAGCTCTCTCTTGTCATCGACCAGTCCGAATTGTTCCCAGAGACAATACATGTAGCACTACGAGAAATCAGATCGAACAGTCTTTAATTTCTGCGAATTTACATATATATCTTCGTATTTCGTCGACTACGCGTTGCTGCACGGAAAGAACAGTTTTATGGAAGTATCTAAAAATTTAACTAGAAATAGATCTGAAAATAATTTTTTTGAACTAGCGAAATAATTATATAATTATATAATTCGCTCAAACTTATTGCTGGAATATCAAAATATTTTGCTTGAATTTCTTGCATAATTATTTTGAAATCCAACAAAATTATTTTCGGATTTATAGCTAGCTAAATTTTTAGATATTTCGACAAAATCGTTCTTTCTTTATAGGATAATATTTCTTTTTTGCTAGATGTAAATGGTAATTCACGTGCCTCGTGTACTCACCTTCAATTGACGTGTTTCCGGCCATTG